TTGTGATGGGGGGTGGGAATGGAAGGCTAGGTACTAACAGTTGGGACCGGGATGTTAGGGGGATGAAAGGATAGGTTTTGACCAGATGGTGCATCACAGTAATTTCTATTTCTTTGAAAATAGCTACCAGAGCAATGTATCTTTTTTTTTCATTTCTTTCTACAGAGATATTAGTAAAAATGCCCACTTGGGCTTTAAGCCTTTCCTCTACTGGACCTTCTTGGGATTTTTTCATGCATTTGCTTTCTTCTTTGGCTCCTATCTTCTAATGGGAAAAGACACTTCATTGTTAGGAAATGGCCAGGTAAAGTAGAATGCTAATCTACTATGAAAACTGTATTGTGGGGTATGTAATGTGCTATATAAACTCAACCTTTGTAAAACATATATCAGCCAGAAGTGTTTGTGCTTTCTTAATATCTTAACATAGCTATTGAGATCCAAATTTTCTTGAAAAAGAACTCAACTTTAATTACCTCGAGATAAACTAAGCATTATGTAAATTGAGATACCAAACAGTTGGATATTAACTCTGGGGTTTCAGGAACTGACTGTCAACTGCTCATATTTCTGTTTTATATTCTGTGTGGTATACTTCCTCTGGATTTCTCCACACAAATTTCCAACCAGAGGATCGGGTGCCCAAGTTATTTATTGACAGCTTATGAATAAGCATCTTCTGAAAATGAACAGAGCTGAGCAAAAACCTGTTTCCCAGATCCCTTATTTGACTTACTTGTGATCTGTTATACTTCAGTTACACAACTGAGCGGACTTGGTTTTGTATCATTGTGCGGGCACAGTCAGGAATCTGGGATAGTCTAACCACTGTCTGCTATTTTTAGCTGGAGTACAAAAGTACACCATGGGTTAACTCTTAATTTCAGCATAGCTGGCATGCAGGAAGAAAGAATCCACATTGTTATGTGTGAATTCTGTGGGTTGGTTTAGCTTTGCACTGTAACGGCTGTATACTACAATTTTGCACTTTTAGTTTCCTTCTAACCTACCCCTTTTTTTCATGCTGTGCATGTCATCAGCTACTCAAACCTAACAGGCAAATGGTAAGATTTTATGTTGTAGGATAAAAGACATGCAGACGCTAAATGCAGTACCTTTGTAGCCGTGTTCAAGAATGCATCGCTCATTCTCCTTGA